GTCATGGACTTCTTAGAATTCTTGGATTATGTTAAAGAACATGGAGACGAATTCGAGAAGTTACGAGCTTCCCCTCCTTCAGCTACTGTAGTAAAGAAACGTTCAACTTTACCTACCAAACGCGCAGCCAGCGATAATATTCAAGCAAAACAGAAGCGACCGAAGAGTCAAGGGGATGGCAAAAACGCGACATTAGATGCGTTTGTCATTAAAATCCAATCTCCCTATTCAAACCGTGTTTCTACAGACAACGAGGGGAATGATAGTAAAACTTCTATAGAACGAATATCTGCAGCATCAGTGTCAGAAAATGTGGAAAATAACAGTTCGAATAAAATGGATGCTCTCGAAACTCCCACTAAACCAGATAATGTTGAGAATCTTAAGAAGGAATCGTCTACTATATCACCACCAAAGGCAACTATTGTTGGTAAGATTTCTCAGCCATTGGAGATTGATTTAACTTCTGATACCGAGTCTCTTCACTAGAAATGATCTTGTTTGTAATGGTATTTTGTTGACAATCGGATTTTATGATAAATTAGTACAATATATTTGTACATATTTGTGAGTGAGGAATGCTTTTATATTAATGGTGTATTTTGTAAATATAAATTGGAGCATTGTATTGCCTTTTTTATCATTTCCACTTAAATGGCAGTTTGGCTGAATTTTGTTAATGGGAAAATCGCTTGTATGCTATGACGTCCACACATCGTATTCTTTCACTTTTATCTTCGTTGTGCCAAAAAATCGTCATATTCTTAGGTTTTACGTTTTACTAGCATGGTTTTGTAAGAATAACAATCTCGTACACTGTTCCGCCAAATGGGTGTTTATTTTAACAACTAATCTTCCTATTTATGTGGGCTATGCCCTTTTTTGCATTCTCAGGCTTGAGAAGTTAATATGTTGACTGTGCTATCAACTTCTCTAGATGCCGTTCGATCCCATTACTCCTTTGGTATCCTGTTAGTTGAAGTCGGCTGTGACAAAATACTCTAATAACTCGTCTGAAAATATATCCAACATTCTAATTTTCTGTCTGAAATGAGCAGCTATGGCTAAAACTTTTACTTTCCCAACGTCTTATAACATGTAGCTATTTTATTAACTTTTAATTTCTGGTAAATGTTTTGGCAGATTTTCCATCTATTATCTACTATTGGTGCCTTAAGATGATTTTTTAAACGGGGTTAATTTTATGCTAATCTCCTAACTTCTATTCTAAGGAGAAGTAAATTATTTCTTGGACCTTATGATCAACAACACGGGGTGTGTGATAGATTTACCTCCACGTGGTGCACCCTGGTCAACGTATACTCATACGGTAATAAAGTCTATTTTTCGGCAGTTGACTTACGACTTCAAAACACCATCACCTCACTGTATGTCATATTCGACTACTTTCACAGTACTCATCTCATCTTTTTTCTACCTCTGAGTCTGTATACTTCCATAGTACTCACCTCACCTTTTTTCTACATTTGTATCTTCCACAGTACTCACCTCACCTTTTTCCTACCTTTTCTAAGCCTCCACAGTACTCATCTTACCTTTTTCTCTACCTTCGTGTAACACAGTACTCACCTCACCTTTGTTCTACCTTTGTGTCTGTTTAAACTACCATGACCCCACTGTATGTCATATTCGACCCCTTTCATAGTACTCATCTCCCCACTCTATGCCATATTCGACTATTTCCACAGTACTCACCTTACTGTATGTCATATTCGACTACTTCCACAGTACTCACCTCATCTTTTTCACTCTACCTTTGTGTCTCTCTCTTTTACATCTATGAAACACTCTTCTGTTCCCCTCCCCTCTCTCGACTTTTTTCCCTTTGATGTTCCTTCCTTCTTGAACCCCCCTCCCCCTCTCGACTTTTTTTCACTTTGATGTTCCCTTCCCTGTGAAGCCTGAAGTCAACTAAAGGGCTTATGATAACCATCAAACCGCCTGCCATTTGATATAAATAAATACTCTTAGAAATCAAAATGCCTGCCATTTGATATAAATAAAAATAAATGATCAACAACATCAAAGTGACAAACGGTTTCTGTTTGAGATTTACATTTCGCATGGGAAAAAAAAAGGGAGAATCAGTCATAATAAATGCATGCCCTTTTGTGGTGGCAGTTTTCTATACCTTTATAATGTGTGTGCAATAGACCTACCCCCACGTGGTGCACCCTGGGCAACGTTTACTCATACGGCACAAAAGTCTATAAACCAACAGTTGACTTCTGACTTCAAACTACCATCACCCCACTGATGTCGTATTCGATTATCTCCACAGTACTCACTTCACCTTTTTTCTACCTTTGTGTCTGTCACTTTGGCATCGTTGAAACACTCCTCTGCCCCCCCCCCATCTCGACTTTTTGTCAATTTGATGTTCCTTCCCCGATGTGAAGCTTGAAGTCAACTAAAGGGCTTATGATAACTATTAAGATGCCTGCCATTTGGTATAAATAAATAAAATAATGAATAGTGCTACTTTACTCGTGGCGATTAATAGACATGAATCACAATAGCTGTTGTGTAACAATAAACGCCTAGCCAATGGCTTTTAATTTAGATTAGTTAAAGAGCAGATACTTAAATGAAAGGAAGGAGCTTTAATTACCAAGTAATTGAGTTCTCTATTGTTTCACTCGTATCGATTATAACTCTTAACGTGATACCTTGTTAGTCGTCAAGACTTTCGCCAATCTTCACTGGAAGGACGAGGTGGATGACCGGCGACAATCTTTGGTTTTGAAGGAGAACGAAGATGAAATTTGTATTTCTATGGTGATTTTGAGTTTGAGTTTTTGAGATGGGCATCTCAGGACTTGGGATAGCAAAATCTGGGTGGAATAATTTCTCACTTCTACAGGCGAATAGGCGATTGAGATCCAAAAACAATCGCTTAAGCGGCGTATAATTGGTTTCACCCTTTGAATATTCCGAAAATAACCTGCACACTATATCTGCAGAGGAGGTGGCTGCCTTGAAATCACAAGTTCTGTAGTGAGTGCATTGTAGCCTGCCAGCACCCTTCACAGAGGTAAACCTATCGAAATTACTGATAATGAGACAATTTATTCATCTGGAGACCTTTTATCCCAGGTGTCAGATCCTTGTACAGAGGTCACCGACTGAAAAGAGAAATCATGTCAATAATCTCTCAACTCCGAGTTGGTATATCAAGGAAGCATAACAAACGTTTTATCAATCCCTACTCAGTTTCATATCGTCAGCACTTTAACTATTCGACCGATTTTAAATTTTAATCACGTTGGGCAAGTGATTGAGTTGAAAATATACCCCCAAAGTTCAAGAAGTAAATACAAATATTTACACGGATATATTTATATTTATGAAGATAATTGATATTCAGCAAAGTTTCTCTAATTAGGATATAAGCGATGGAAATAGTCTAACCAG